GGAGAACCTCACTTTGTATTCACTTAGTTTCCCTGTGGTGGTGCAGCTCTTTAAGCCTCCTAGGTCTCCAGTTTGAGTTCAAGGCTCGAAATTTTCTCTTTCCATCTCTCTGTCATTATTTTGGGGGAGTACTGGGAATTGAACTCAGGACCTTGTGCTTGCCAGGCAGATGCTACGCTGCTGAGCTATCTCCCTGGCCCCATTCCCATCTGTCTATTATGAACCCTGATTCCAACCCTTGGGGTAGCATTCATTAATAGAAGTATGACATGAGGGGCTGGGGATATAGATAGCTCAGTGGCACAAGCGCCTGCCTAGCAAGCTCAAGGTCCTGAGTTTGATTCCCAGTACCAAAAAAAAAAAAAGTACAACATGAGCCATACATACTTTAATATATTCTATTCTTTTTTTTGGTACCAAGAATCGAACTCATGACCTCAGGCTTACCAGGCAAGCACTTATGCCACTGAGCTATACCCATGGCCCTACTTTAATATATTCTAAAGACCAGGGGCTGGGGATTTAGCTCAGCGGCAAAGCGCCTGCCTGGCAAGCGCAAGGTCGTGAGTTCAGTTCCCGGTACCGGAGAAAAGCCAAAAAAAAAAAAAGTATATATATTCTAAAGACCACATGAAAAAAAAAAAAGGTAGATGAAATAAATTTAGTGACATATTTAACCTACTATCTCTAAAATATTGTCAGTTTAGCCAGGCATGGTGGTGCATACCTATAATCCCAGCACTCAAGAGGCAGAGGCAGGATCACTGCGAGTTTGAGGCCACCCTGGGGTACATAGTGAACCCTGTCTCCAAAAAAACAAATAAATAAAATAAAATATTTTCACTTTAAAGCTGGACGTGATGGTGCACGCCTGTAATCCCAGCACTCAGGAGCCTAAGGCAGGAGGATCGTTGTGAGTTCAAGACCAGCCTGGGCTACAAGGTGAGCTCAAGGCCAGCCTGAACTGCATAGTGAGACCCTGTCTCAAAAAGAAAAGAAAAAAATGTATATATATTTATTTATTTCATGTATATAAAAATTCACTGTACATAGAAATTTACATTTTTTGCACTGAATCTTCCCAGTCCCGGTTGCACTCTATGCTTGCAGTGTGTCTCCATCTGGGCCAGTCACAGTTGAGGTACTTCATGGCTGAGTGACCCAACCCCTTTTCCCCCCTTCCAGGTCCCCTACGTGGACCTTATTTACTCCTTGGGCCTCCTAGAATCCACATCTCCAGCTTAATTTTTTCTTTTTTTTTTTTTCCTCTTTTTGGTCTTTTTGAGACAGGGTCTCGCTATGCAGTTCAGGCTGGCCTTGAGCGCACTTTGTAGCCCAGGCTAGGCTGGAACTCGCAGCAATCCTCCTGTCTCAGCCTCCCGAGTGCTGGGATTGCAGGCATTGGCCATGCCTGGCCTAAATTTCCTCGTTGAATTGGTCAGGTTCCCTTTGCTGAACACAGCACCTGATGCCCACAGCTTGGAGGAGGAAAGTTGCATTGGCTCCTGTGTGCAGTCTGTGGCCGGCTGGCTCCGAGGCATAAACATGAACATTACCAGGAAGCACACGGAGAAGCAGGGCTGCTGCGCTGTGGTGGCTGGGAAGCACAGCGCAAGGCTGCAGTGCAGGGGGGTGGGGGTGGGAATAACAGTGGATAGCAGTGACCCCAACTTCTTGGTGCCAAGTCCAGTCTCCTAGACGACAGTTTTTCTTCCCATGGACTGGTGGGGGCTGGTTTCAGGGTGACTCAAGGCATTACATTTGCTGTTTGCTTTCTTTGTATTACTGTTGCATTGTAACGTACAATGCAATACTGTAATTGCACAACTCACCGTCATGCGGAGTCAGTGGGAGCCCTGAGCTTATTTTCCAGCAACTCGATGGTCCCATCTGGAGTTGGTGGGACAATGACGCCCAAGGTGTGCTGCTTATGGCGTCTGCCCTGTAATCTCGTCCGGGCAGCTGTCACTGCAGAAAACCCTGCTTCACAAAGACAGGGTGCTGGAAATGGAAGCAGGCTTTTCAGTGCTTCTATGGCAATATCGAGTTATCTCCCTTTATCTTTAATCTGGGACATATGGAGAATTGAAGTTGTCCCAAACATACTGTTAAGGCTGCTGTGACTTGTGGTCTCAAGCAATTGATTCTCTTGTAGCACAGACCAAGTTGATCGACCTGGCTTAGTCACAGTTAGGTCACAGATCCTTCCTTCCCAGTTCAGGGATCTTTTGTGGTCGGGAAGTGATGCGCAAATTCTTTTCAAAGCTGAGACAGGTGGTCATGCTCTAGAATGGAGAAGCAGGGCCCTGCCTCAGTCTCTTTCAAAATCCCCAAATGTTTGAAATGTGTCAAAAAACCAGTGTTCACTTGTTGCCCCATAATCCTAGTTTGGCTTTGAATGTATCCACTTCAACTGCTGACTTGAACACAATTGTTTTTTGCTTCTGAAGGGTTCATTTAGCAAGTTGAATCTGTCACACAAGTAAGCAAGTTTGGTGACCTATTCTGTGTCACTGAACTGTACCGCTGGTGGTGCCTGTTTTTCTAAGAAATGTCTGGAGCTCTCTCGCAAATCAGAAACTCTGGCAGTGACCCCTCTTCAGAAAGCCATCTCACTTCTGTGGACAAGAGAAGGCATGCGTGCTCTGCGTTCCTCTCCTCAAGGGCTGCATCAGCAGACACGGGGAAAGGGCTTGTACTTTAACGTGTTGATAATTTAATCACATTCTGCAAAATGCTCCCAAGTTTAGGTGACTGTTTTGGCGAGCCAGCATTTCTCTATGGATGACAAAGTGACTCACATTTACAAGCAGCCTCTTCGACCTGCATAATGGAACCAGGAGGCCATCCTATCCTGACACAAAATGACCAGTTCCATCTTCCTGGTGTGATGCAAAGACTTGAGCAGTTGTGCTTCTGTGTTGTTGGTTGGAACGGAAGTGCATGTACCATGTCCTCATGCGTACTGTCCTGAAAAATACATCACACAAAAACAAGCATTGTTGCCTTGCAGTCAACATCAGTAGACTTACCCACCTAGGTTATGTACCAGAGCAACTCATTAATCCTCCCTGACAACTGTGCCTCAGTACCCACTGCTAGTTCATCATCTGTCTAGTCATGGTGCTACCCAAAGAGGAACATGTGTCACACTTTGAACCACATCCTCTCCTAAAAGTTCCCAACACATGTCCTTAGCAGTAGGCAGGACCAACTCCTTGACAATAGTCTCCCATCCAAGTACTAACTAGGCTTGACCCTGATTAGCTTTTAAGATCAGACAAGATCAGGCACGTTCAGGGTGGTATAGCCATAGACTGTCTTTACCAGTAGTCAAGGGCTTCTTAGCTTTAGACATGCAGTTGGCCACTAAGAATGATGCTCTCAGTGCAGACGCATTTGAAGAATTGTAATTGCTTCTGGCTGAGTGTGGTGGCACATACCTGTAATCCCAGGACTCGGAAGGCCGAGGCAGGATGATCCAGGCTGGCTTTGACCATACAATGAGACCCTGTCTCCAAAAAAACTTGCTTCTGTTCTTTGTATTTTTTTTTTCTTCTGAAAAACTCCAGGGACTTGTCTTTTAATGCAGGGCGCTCAGTCTTCACGTAGCAAAGCAGTTCTGAAGGTTTCAAGGCTTTGTTGGATAAACTGGTGTCACCACATGTTATACACAGTGGGCTTGGAGGTTGTGGATCACCTGTGGCAATGAACCTATAATTTAAGTAGGACTCTTGGTACTTTCTATTAAGTGCAGCTCTCTTTTTTGGCAGTCATAGAGTCTTCTGGCTCATCTTAGGGGCTCGTCCCCTTTTTAAAGAAGCTCTCCAGTAACATTTGTTTTTTACTCATTTTGGCTGGGATTAGCTTCGGGATTCCCAAAGCTATGACTGAGACAAGTGGGCAGTGCAAGAAAGAGGTGCAGATGGAAGTAGTAAAAAAAATAATGGGTGGTCCATGTGCAGACTAAAATACATGTCAGATTCTCACTTAAAGCCTGTCACCAGATGCAGCCATACAGTTGAAGTACATCAGCTCAAGTACATCAGCTCATGTGTTACTATAAAGCCTGTTTCCAGATACAGCTTAACTATCACTGGCCACTCACTGCAAACAATTGATTTATCGTCTCTGCTACTACAGCTGCTCCCCAGCACTAGCATCAACACCTCAGCTCTACTTTAGGTCATCAGGCATTAGATTCTCATAGCAGCTTAGACCCTTTGCGTGTGCTGTTCACAGTAAGGTTTATGCTTTGAGGAGCTAATCAGCTAATGCCACCGCTGGTCTGACAGGAGGTGGAGCCCAAGTGGTCTTGTGAGTGGAAGGGAGCAGCTATAAATACAGATGAAGCTTCACTAGCTTCCCTGCTGCTCACTGGCTCATTGTAGTCTGCAGACGAGTACCAGGCTATGGCCAGGGTTTAGGGACCCCTGATATATAGTAGGCAAGGCTATACCCCTACAACCAGCCTGAGAAACACCCAGGAGCATGCTTTACTAATCTGCTAGGCATTTCCTTTTTTTTTTTTTTTTTTTTTTTTTTATGAGATAGGGCCTGATATGTTCAGGCTGGCCTTGAACTCACTACATAGCCTACACTGGCTTGAATTCATGGTGAGCTTCCTGCCTCAGCCTTCCAAGTGCTGGGATTACAGGTGTGCACCACCACACTTGGACATAGACCTTTCCTTAATCCAATGAAGTTGACATATTAGAATTAACAATCACACTATATTTTTAGCTGGAAGAAGCTAGACTTTTAGCTTGACTCCATTTAGCAGTCCATGTGCTAGGAATCCTTTCATTTATCCCTTATTCTGCTCCAGTTACAGATGAGGAAACTGGGGCTGTGGAGCTCACCTGACTTGTCCACAGTCACCCAGCTGTTAGGTGACAGAGAACAGACCTGCTTGGGACTGTTTGAATTTCAAGTCCATGCTCTCCCCGCCACCCCATATCACTGCTTCATAATTTTGATTCATCCTTGTTCATTTTCAGGAACTAACCGCCACCAAGGGGTGTATCTATCTGACTTCTTCCTCGGCCTTGCCTGTCTGAGAGTGGCCAGGACCAGGTAGCAGAGAGCCATGGACCAGTATGGCCTTGGGGACAAGGGTTCCCTTCCATCGGAAACGCACCTTCCTTTGTTCTCAGAGAGCCAAGGTCTCAACTGCAGTGACACCCTCAATCGGGATCTGGGCCCCAGCACGCATGACCTGCTCTATGCCAGCCTGGGTGGCTTGGACCTGGACCCCACACTCTCGGTACCTGATGTGCCCAGTGAGGTGCTCGAGGACAACTTAGACACCCTGTCCCTGTACTCAGGGAGAGACAGTGACTCCGGGAAGCTGCTGGAGGAATATACAGATCTGGAGTCTCAGACTTCTGTACAAGGTGAGGCTGCCCCCCTGGGTGGAAGGGCCTGGGATGTTTGACAGTCCCTGCAGCCAGTTCAGAAAATTCTCCTCTCCTACAAATGATGTAGGGAAAAGCCACCCCACCCCCACCCCCTGCAGAATCACTCCCAACTCCCTAGCAAAAGCGAAAGAACTAACCCTAGGGATGGTGTTGAGAGCCATAGCTGTCTGGAGATATTCTAGCCTTTTGCTGGTGTGTGTACAGCGAGCAGCTGGTCAGAGACTTTCCTGTCTGTAACTTCATCTCAGTGGCTCTTCACCTTCCCAGAATGCACCAGGGTCCTGGCCATTCTGCTGTCAAGCTGCTTGACATTCCTAGGCCTTGCCACCTTCATTTGTAGAGAGGAGCAAAAGCAGAAACAATCACAGAAGCTCTGCATAGGCCATAAAGCATTGGACAAAAGTTAGGTATTTTGTTTTCTTAAGAGATCCCAGAACTCCTGGGCTGTAGTGACCCTCCTGCCTGCACCACCACACCCAGCTAGTTACCAATACTGTGACATTTCTTTCTTTTTGGAGGAAGGGTCTTTTTGGGGGAGGGTTGTCTCACTATGTATCCCAGGATGGCTTCGAACTCACAGTGATCCTCCTGCCTCAGCGTCCTGAGGGCTAGGATTACAGGTGTGCACCACCACACCTAGCTGATATTTCATTTTAAATAGGACTTTAATTCAGTTCTAAGCTTTTTCTCTTCAGCAGGGAAGGAATGAAGGGAGAACTCCTGAACTAATAAAATCCTTTAGTTAAATCTCCCTTTGGTTTGCCTTCTGGCTTCCCATAGAGGAGAAATTCATTTTTTGTTAATCCTCTTCCTGACCTCCTGACTTAGTTGCTTAAATGGGTAGACAGAACTAACCCAAAGCTTTGTAATCACACTTTGTAATCATCTGTAATCACACTTTGCACATGGAAGGCCACATCTGAAATTCTTTGCAGTCAGGTATTAATCTTTTTTTGATTTTTCTGTGATGGAGGTTAAACCTAGGGCCTTTGTACTGAGCACCACCGACCCCATAGGCTCTGACTAAATCACTAAATTTCCAGGCTGGGCTCAAACTTGTGATCCTTCTGCCTCAGCCTCCAAGAATATTGGGATCACAGGCCTGTGCCACCACGCCTCCCTGGCTCAGATGTTAATCTTCATTGGAATAAGTAGCTCAAGGACCATTCCAGCCCAAAGTGGTAGCACTTGCCTATAGTCCCAATACTAGGGAGGCTGAGGCAGTAAGATCACTTTGAATTCAGGGCCAGTCTGGGGTACACAGTGAGACCCTGTCTCAAAAAAAGAAAAAAAAACCTGGGCATGGTGGCACACACATGTAATCCCAGCACTTGGGAGGCTAAAGCAAGAGGATCACTGTGAGTTCAAAGCAAGCCTGGGTCACATCGTGAGCTCAAGGCCAGCCTGAACTACATAGCAAGATCCTGTCTCAAAAACCCAAAAGTAAAACAAAACAAAACAACATTCCAAAGAACTACTAAAGTGAAAAGCCTGTGAAGGCTCCACTCCACAGAGTATGAAGTAGACAGATGTTTGCTTTGTCCCTGTGCCGGCCTGATGGTAGAGGATGAAATTAGGGTACGAGACACTTGCTGAGGTGCAATACGCAGGGTCCCCAGCCTGGCCACAGAGATGGCCTGAAAATGCTGATGGCGGGAATCTGTGTAATTCACTTTTATCAGACAGTCATGGGGTCGGTCCAAGTCATTAATCTAGTTCAACCTTTCCTCACTTGCTTTACACTTGATTTTTTTTTTTTTTTTTTACCTTGTAGGAGAATAGGAATCCATTGAATGTTAAATTTCAACTGTTTATACTTCTCTTAGATTCAGGTCGTATAAGGGCATAGGTTTGCCATGTTCTTGAGACAGGGTCTCCCTGTGTTGCCCAGGCTGGCCTTGAGCTCCTGAGCTCAAAAGTGATCCTACTGCTTCTGCCCCTTGAGTAGCTGGGAGTACATGTTTGAACCACCACATCCAGCTTATATAAATTTTTTTACTTAGAGAAGTAATATGTACTTACTTTAAAAATTAGAAAGTAATAAGCAAGAAAAATCTCCACTCTGGCCCCCCCTCACATAAATCATTAAAAATGTGTGAAGTTGCTCAGAAATAATCAGCTTTATAGATTAGATATTAAGTATGTAGCTTAGTGGTAGAGTACTTGGCTAGCATGGGCAAGACCCTGGGTTTTATCTCCAGCACAGCACACATCAATAAACATATAAGCTAAGAACTCTGTTTGCAGTTGTGAAGAAGCTGTGTCTGCTTTTACACACGGGGGTGCACCCTGCACCTGTCATCATAACAGCTGTGCTGTCCTAGCGTTAGACGCGTTCTTGTTAGGCTGGGATGGCATTTCTGGGAACAGCTTTTTACATACTGAATTTTCTTTGCAATACTGTATTTTCCTCCACCTGGGTTTACCCAGACAGAAAGTAGCACTTTCCCCAGGCCAGTGATTTTGTTTGCCTGGTTTTCAGTGTCTTTGCCCAATTTTTTCAACATTTTATTTGCCCTTTCTTTCTTTCTTTCTTTCTTTCCTTCCTCTCTCTCTGCCTCTCTCTTTCTCTTTCTTTCTCTCTTTCTTCCTTCCTTTCTTTCTTTCTTTCTCCTTCTCGTTCTCTCTTTCTTTCTTTCATCATTGTTGAGATAGGATCTCTAGTTCAGGCTGGCCTTGAATGCCCTATGTAGCCCAGGCTGGTCACAAATTTGTGGCATCTTCCTGCCTCAGCCTCACAAGCGCTGGGATTATAGGTGTGCCTACCACACGTAGCAACATTTTATTTTCCAGTTTAACATTTGCTTTAAGGAGCTTTTAAAGTAACTCAGCAAGGCTGAAGGATGGCCCCAGAGGGAGCCCAGAGTTTCCTTGTTTCCATGGTTGGAATTACTAAATTGTATTCCAGGCTGGCCTTAAACTCCGTGCTGTAGTCATTTCTCCAGTGAGGAAGATGAGGGCTAGGCAAAGGAAGTGGCAGACAGTTCTGGCATGGGCAAAGCTGGGCGAGCATCCTTTGCTTTCTGCTGTGTCCACCAGCCACCACTGCTCAGTGGTTTGAGATCCTATAGTTTGGCCTCCTCCGTCCCTCCCCATGCCCTAACCTGTGGGGTTCTGGGATCTCCTCTCTGCAACTTGGTAGATAAATGGTTGTTTCTAAAAGTCTGATCCATCTAACAGGCTGATCTAAGGTACAGAAAAATCTTCCATTTTGGTTTGGCATGGTGGTGCACACCTGTCATGCCAGCACTCAGGAGGCTGAGGCAGGGGATCACCGTGAATTTGAGGCCAGTTTGAGCTATGTAGCTGCAAAAAATAAATAAATCTTTTATTTTTTTATTCATGTAACATACATTTTTTGAGTGCCTACTAGTGCCAGATGGAAATCCCAGCAGCTGGCCACATGGCAGTGCCAGGCAGAGGTCTTGTGTCCACGGCCTGTATGTTTCTAGTGGTTAAAAACCACCCTCCCTTTAATCCTCATTCGCCAGCCCTAGCTCTGTCCCTTGGACCAAGACAGATGCAGTCTGCTCCTCCTCTGCACACTGCCCTTCGGATACTCAAATGCGCCTCCCTCCCCACCACTCCCCAGAGACTTTCCAGTCCTTCAGCTGTTCCTCAGGTGACAAGATTCATAAAAGTATTTTCTGTCATTTTATCCAAGAGATACGCAAAACATGATAAATTCAGAGATGCACAAAGAGGAAAATAAGAACTGACCCATCCTCCCACGGGTCTCTTCTGTTTTCAACTCAAATATGTTTGTTTTGAGACAGGGGTCTTACTTTGTATTCCAGGCTGGCCTTGAACTCCCCATATAACCCAGGTTGGCCTTTAACTTGCAGCGACCCTCCTGCCTCAGCCTCCTGAGTGCCGGGATCCTAGGCCTGTGCCACCATGCCCAGCTTATTTTTCTTTTTTAACAACTAGGGTTGTTCTGTTTTGCAGTAGGCTGCCTTTCTCTCATCCTTCCCGTCATCAGGTGTTTCCCTACAGTTTTACTTGAGAGGTATATGTCATAGACCCTTTGAACCATAATGCAGTCACCCATGCGTCCTGCTGTGGGATATCAGGCTGGTCTGATGTTTGCTGGTGAAGGTGATGTGCACTCAGCTCACTTGTGGCCAGAGCTTTGCAGCAAGTTGCATTAACAGTTAAGAACCCAAAAGCAGATCCGGCTGGTGAGCGCAGGGGGTTTACAGCGCCCAGGTTTCGAGTAGCAGGGTACTCTTCTAGGTTGCCCTCTGCGCTCACACACCAGGCGGTGGTGCAGTGCTGCGGCCCCATCCGAAGTGGCCACACTGTCCTGGAAGTGCTTCAGCCTGCCACCAAGCCTGTCCCTCATTACAAGGCACAAAACCAGGCGTGGTCCCCTGGGGGCCCCACTGTCCTCTCCTGCCTTGCGGAGCTGCTGAAGTTGAGGAGAGCTGTGGAGGGCCGCATTCGGGGGCGCTCTGGCGTCCCCAGCTGTGGATGACCTGTGCTTTCTCCCTCGCTCTGTGCAGACCAGGGGCCAGGTGCGTTCAAGCTTCCCCGAGAGGCTGAGGAAGCAGGCAGGGCCGCCTCGGGCAGTGCGAGGAAAGGGAAGCGGCAGCACAGCTCGCCCCAGAACGCGCTTCTGGACTGCAGCCTATGCGGGAAGGTGTTCAGCAGCGCCAGCTCGCTCAGCAAGCACTACCTGACGCACAGCCAGGAGAGAAAGCACATCTGCAAGATCTGCAGCAAGGCCTTCAAGCGGCAGGATCACCTGTATGTGGGCAGGGGGCAACTCTGGTCTCTCTCCTCCCTGGCAGGTCACCCTGCTCTGTCCTCTGTTGGGTTTTTGGCCTCCTTGTTCCCCAGATGGAGATCACTGGGCTCAGGTGGGCATGGACCCCGTGCTCCTCACCTGGCCGGGGTCCTGGTCCAGTTTGGTTCGCACCAGTGAGGAAATAAATCTCTACCTTGATCTGTAGTTTAGAAATGTGTAATGGCTCCCCAGGCAGTTAATGGTGTCTTTTGGGAGTCTGGCTAATTTGATAGAGAAATGCGCGGAATCCCTGGTAGATATCTGAGGACGAGTGAGTGATCTGCTGACGTGCGGGGGTGACTTGGGGCACAGGTGACTCTGAGATACCCGTTTGCAGAACATGACCATGGAGCGGTATGTTACTTCCTCCTCTTCTTCCTTTTGTTCTTTTTGGTACCAGGAATCGAACTCAGGACCTTGCACTTGCCAGGCAGGTGCTTATGCCACTGAGCCATATCCCTGGCCCCCTTTTTGTTCTTTTAAACTCTTGATTTTAAAATAGAAGCTCCAGTTTAAGAATTAAGAGCAAAATTCTTTTACTCTTCATGTCTTGGAACTGAAGAGCTGTCCACATAGGCGAGGGAAGGGAAGACTGGCTGGTTTCAGCCAGAGGTTTGCGAGTGCTTGCAGTTTGAGGAACCCACCTCTTCCCCCGGGAAAGGAAGCCTTTCTTTTGCTCCTGACACGCGATGGAAACAGAGCTAGAACTTAGGTCTTCTGGTTCCTTCTCTATCCCTTCCCTTGAAGGAGGTCAGGGGCCATCTTTTGGGAAAAGCTTCGGTTGGTAGTCTCACCCCAGGGCCCCAAGCACGGGGACTGTCCAGAGCAGGCTTGTCTGGATCCCAGACGGTGACCCCCTCGGTTGTTCATGGTGTGTTAGTACAGATGTCCGGATGAGGTAAGGTCCACACTCATGTGCAGTTACACTTGCACACACTGTGGGCACACTGGCTGTCTGGTGCTAGGAAGTCTACACTGATTTGGGCATCTGTAAATTGTTTTCTTCCTGTGGTGGCTGCCCTTACTGCAGGAAGGTGAACCCCAAGCTGGCGTCTCCCGGGTGTGTCCTGGAGAATGATGCTTCTCAGGAGTGCCTGTCAGGGTTCCTTCAGAGCTCCCTCCCTCCCTCTCTGTGGAGTGCAGTTTCTGGTTGTGGTGTGGGTGCACCGAGGACCCTCACTGCCTCTGGGGCTCTGCAGCAGGAGGCCGGGTCCCAGGTGCCCACCCGCTGACGTCCTGTCTCATGTCTGACCCCAGGACCGGGCACATGCTCACCCACCAGAAGACCAAGCCCTTCGTGTGCATCGAGCAGGGCTGCAGCAAGAGCTACTGCGACTACCGCTCGTTGCGCCGGCACTACGAGGTGCAGCACGGCCTGTGCATCCTGAAGGAGGCCCCGCCCGAGGAGGATGCCTGCGGGGACTCCCCCCACGCCCCCGACACAGCTGGCCAGCCTCTGCCCAGTGGCCTGCGGTCCCTGGGGCCCCCGGAAGCCAGGTCCCCTGGCTCTGTCTTGCCTAACCGAGACCTCCTGCGCTGTATTGTGAGCAGCCTTGTCCACCAGAAGATCCCATCTCCTGGTCCTGCCGCAGCGGGGCCTGCAGATGGTGAAGGGAGGAGCACAGCCTGTCCCTGCGCCACCCCAGCAGGGCCTTCCTCCTGCCTCCCAGGAACCCCGGGCACTGAGGCCCCCGAAGAGCCTCGTCCCCCACAGAAGGAGCCGGCTGCTGACGCGTTCACAGCCGTCCATTCAGGGACAGCTGACAGCGATGGCCCTGACCCTCCAGAGTCAGAGCCCCCGCTTCTCCAGCTCCCATCCTCCCTGGAGGACTGGCCCGAGGGCAGCTCCCTGCCCGCCTCCCTGCCTGCCTTCCGGGGTCAGAAGGTCCCTGCCAGTTCGCAGCCATCCAGCCACAGCTTCCAGTGGCTCCGCAACCTGCCCAGCTGCCCCAAGAGCAAAGGCAACACTGTGCTTGCAGTGCACAAGCCCCCTGGGGAGGGCTCGGAGTCTGGCCCTGGGCCCAGCAGCACCTCGGCTCCAGTGGAGCCTTTGCCCGGTGCAGGCAGCAGTCAGGACGCACTGCCCTTCCTGCCCACGCTCCTGAAGGCACCCAGTGAGGCCTCAGGTGACCCCAGGCCGGATAGCGGGGATGAGGAGGGCTGGGCTTCCAAGAAGAGTGAGCCCTTCCCGTCGGATGCTGCGCCCCTCTTCCGCCAGCTGTTCCTGAAGTCGCAGGAGTCTCTGGTGAGCCACGAGCAGATGCAGGTGTTCCAGATGATCACCAAGTCCCAGCGGATCTTCTCCCATGCCCAGGTCACAGCCGCTGCCTCGCAGCCCTCCGGGCCCGAGGGCAAGCAGACTGCCCTGAAGTCCTTGCAGGGGCCCTGGCCGCAGCAGCCCCGGCCCCTGGCACCCGCTGTGGACTCTCTGCTGGCGGGCTCCAGAAACATGGAGCCAGAGGGATCCCCGGCCCGCAGGAGAAAACCCACAGCCGTGGCCCCCGGAGAGGCCTCCCCCAACGGCTCGCGGCGAGGCATGAAGGGAGCACCGAAAGTGGCCTCTGCACCACCCCCCGTCACCACGCCGTCTCCAGAGCCCTCCCAGAACCCAGACATCTCTTCTCTGGCCAAGCAGCTGCGATCTTGCAAAGGGACCTTGGACCTAGGGAACATCTTTCCCCCCACGGGCCCAAGGCAGGCCCAGGCAGGCAGTGATGAGCTGCCCGGCGTCCAGCTGTCCGAGAATGGCGCAGCCTCAGGGGCCATGAGAAGCGAGAAAGGCCCGGTGTGTGCCCGGGGAGGAGGCTACAGGCTCTTCTCCGGCCACCCTAGACCCCAGCGGTTCTCAGGCTTCCGGAAGGAGAAGGTGAAGATGGACGTGTGCTGTGCAGCTTCTCCAAGCCAGGTGGCCATGGCTTCCTTCTCGTCCGCTGGGCCTCCTGCAGATCCTGCCCGGGATGCGAAGCCCAAGCTGACCATATTCAACAGGATCCAGGTACCTGTCCCTTTTTGCATGGCCTGACTACAGTGCTGCCAGGGTTTCCTTGGGCGTTTATTTCAGCGTTTGTTAGCAATGTGAGGAAATTAGATCCAGGGAGATTGTGGCCCCCTCTACTCCAAAATAAAAACCAAAACGAAAGAAACCAGAATGAGCACAGTACAGAGTTGTCCAAGGCACCTTATGTCATTCTGCTATTTCACTAAGCTTTTGCTTGCTTGCTTTCTTCTGCTTCCCATTCCCAGCTCCTTTTGGAGTTGCCACCTTCACTCTTCAGAGGATATAAAGGCAGACGCTCTCCCTCTGTTCCTCGTGTACTTCTGCATGAATGGCCACGTCTTCTCCGACCACTATGAGCAGGCCCCCTGCTTGTTGCACACCGATGGACGTTAGCCTTGTTCCTCTGTGCCTGGCAGCCAGGAGGTCCTGCTCTGGAGCACTGGGCCACCTCAGCCGCTTCTCTTAGCAACAACAGCATCCTTCCCATCATGGCATAGCCGTCTGCCCCCCACCTTTACAGTTTTATTATCCAAATGTCATATAATTCACTATTTTTTTTTAAATTTTGTTTTTGTTTGCTTTTTGACAGGGTCTTGCTATGCAGTTCAGGCTGGCCTTGAGCTCACTTTGTAGCCCAGGCTGGTCTCAAGCTCACACAATCCTCCTGCCTCAGCCTCCCAAGTGCTGGGATTACAAGTGTGTGCTACCACACTCAGTTTAATTCACCATTTTAAGAAAAGCGAGTGGGTAGCTTTTAGTGTGTTCCTGAGGTTGCACAATCATTACTAGTATTTACCAGAACAAACTGCTCACCCCAGAAAGAAGCACTGCAGTCCTTGTCACCCCCTAATCTTTCCATCCTCTGCGTCCCCTGCAAAAGAAGCCACAAATCTACTTTTGTCTCTGCAGACTTGTCTACTCTGGATATTTTGTGTGAGTGGAATTGTGCGCTGCAGGCCTCTGTGCCCGGTTCTCTCACTGAGCAAGCGTCAGTGACTCAGGCCTTTCGCAGCTGAGCAGGATTCCGTTAGGTGGAGAGACAGGATTGTATCTGGCTGCTCATTAGCGGTTCGTTTCCACCTTTTGGCTCTTGTGAAGAGGCTGCTTTGGGCACTCGTGCGCACTGTTTTGTGCAGATACATGTTCTCGTTTCCCTCGGAGTGGAAGTGGCATGGCAAACATTCGAGGAAGTGCCCGACTGTGTTCCAGAGTAGCTGCACTGCTGTGCACCCTGCCTCCCCGCAGCACAGGAGGCGTCCGGTTTCTCTGCATCCTCGCCAGCATTTGTTTCTGTCCTTTTTTATCATTACTGTGATCACACAAGTGGGTGTGAGGTTGTATCCATTTCCCTGATGGCTAGTGATGCTGAGTGCCGTGGTCTGTGCTTTTTTTTTTTTTTTGGCCACTTGGATATCTTCTGAGGAAGAATATTCATCCAGGTGCTTTGCCCTAAGATTGAGTTAAGACTATACTGTTATTGAATGGTAAGAGTTTTGTATACGTTCCAGATGCAGCCCCTTATCAGACAAATGACTTGCAAATATTCTTTCCTGTGCTGGGCTATCTCTCCCTTTTCTTTGTGATATTGTTTATAGGATAAAAGTTTCCAGTTTGAGTGAAGTCCAGATTGCATGTTTGGTCTTCGGTTTAGCTTTGGTTCATGCCCAAGAAAGCACTGTGTAACCCTCAGTCACGAAGACTGACTCCCACGTAGTCTTCTAAGGGCCATGTCGCTGGGCTCGGCATTTCTTCTCCTTCTGCTGTGTCGCTCATGTGCATTTTCCTCAGCAGGGTGGAAACATCTACAGGCTGCCCCATCCCATGAAGGAGGAGAGTGTGGCAGGTGGATGGTAAGTTGAGAAGCCTCCTGCCCCGCCTGGCACTGCCCACAGGAGTCCTCTGTGGTTTCCTGTGCTACCTGGGGTGAGTGAGCTGGACACCTTGTCCCGAGGACGATGCTTCCACCCCTGGAGAGTGTGGGTAGGGCCTCTGCGTTTTTCGGGTTTGTTGAGGGTGGTGCGTGGACTGGAGTAGAAAGCAATCAGTGGCTAGAGAAAGGGCCTCACTCTCCCATTCTTCCTTCCTGCCTCGCCTCCCACAGCCACCCGCAAAATGGGAGCCCCACAGACTGGGCGGAGCCCAGGAGCACTTTCGTCTGCAAGAACTGCAGCCAGATGTTTTACACCGAGAAAGGCCTGAGCAGCCACATGTGTTTCCACAGTGACCAGTGGCCATCACCTCGGAATCAGGAGCAGCAGGTAAAGGGGCACCAGCAGGGGCTTCTTGGTGACAGGGCTTGGCAGGCATTGGGGGAGAGATGCTGGCTTTGCCCATCTCAGGCTGAAGATGGCCTCCCAGAAGAAGTAGGGGTATGGCCCGGCAGCAGGGCTGGTCTGGTCTCTGGGACAGCCACAGTGGTGGGATGGCAGAGGTCCCCACTCTGGTCCTTGCCCCACCTCACTGCCCGGAAGTCTGCCACAGCCTTTCTAGCTGTCCTCAGAGCACTTCTTCTGTCCCCCGGCTTCTGTCTGCCCTAAGAGTCTTAAAGAGCTCTTGAAGAGCCGCTGTCTCTCCGTGTTCAGGTGTTTGCCGCAGAGTCTTGCAAGCCACCGAGACGGGCTCTGAGGCCAGACAGGGATGGACAGAGCTCCCCAGGTGCCAAGAAGCCCTCTGGGGATCCCCGTGTCCGTGCCCATGGCTGTGGCTCCCTGCCCCCTAGGGAGCATGGCCAAGGTGGGTGCCCACCTGTCTAATCTGCCCATGCTTTTCCACCTTGCTGGCACCATGGGAAAAGCTGCATGTCCCAGGAAATCCTGACTCTACAAGTACTTGGTTTACAACTTCACTCAGAAATTCAACGTTCATGGATCCCTCTGTGTCGGCCCTGCTGTTGGGCAGTGCAGGGGACCCAGCAATAACCACGAGAGCCCAGGCTCTGCCTCCTGGGGCTGCAGTCCCGTGGAGATCTGGCCCTGGACAGCGATGACCCAGAGTTTGCAGGGCTGTGTTGGGATGCTGAGGGACAGCCTTCTGGGGTCAGGCGGGGCTTCCCTGAGGAGGGGCTGTCGGAGCTGAGAGCTGGAGGAGGAGGAAGGCTGGCAGGGAGGAGAGGAGCCCGGAGGGGAAGGAGAGCACTGAGTGGGAGCACTGGTCTCCGGGGACTCATCTCTTCGGTGCTCCATGGGGGCCCCACTGGAGAAGCTCTCGTTGGATTCAGGAATGGGGTGCCTGGGCCCGGAGGCTGCAAGTCTCACTGGCGCCACCACGATCTGAGCGGACTCATTTTCATTCGCTCGCCATCACCGTGTGTCTGCACACGCCCTCTGAGTCGCTGGGGCTGGGGCTGCACAGCTGCGGGCTCTGGGCTCAGGACGGCACCAGGCTGGCGGCGTGGGTTTGCCCTGGGCCTGGCTGGGCAGTGCCGCTGTGGGCCCGCTCGGCCTCCTGTGCCCAGGGCTGGAGTGTGGCCCTGCTGGCCACACATGCACTGTTTCCCTGTCTCTACTGCCAGTCTTCCTTTACCCGCTTGTGCTACCCCGAAGACTGTCGTGGCAGGGGACTGCGGTGACCCCAGTGGCTCTGAATACTTTTCTTTTCCAGGGACAAGAGAAGGATGAGGAAGAGAGAGATGACAAGGACAGCAGCCAACACAAGAAGCGGAAGAAGCGCCCCCAGTCCAGGGCCCTGTTCATCCCTCCTCTACCCTCTGTGTTTGGGGACCCTGGCCCTGAAAGGGGCCAGCAGAGCTGCCTGCGCTCTCCCGTGCTCCTGGTGGACCACCTCCTGAAGGGCTTGTTCCAGTGCTCCCCCTACACGCCGCCTCCCATGCTCAGCCCCATCCGGGAGGGCTCCGGGCTCTACTTCAACACACTCTGCTCCAAGTCCCAGGCAGGGCCCCACCAGCTCATCAGCTCCGTGCTGGGTGAGTGAGGCCGAGCGCTTGCCCCGTGCTGCACACCCATGCCGCCCCTTGCGGCAGCTGGTCCAGCGACACACAGGGCTTGGGGACACCTGGCCTAAGGGTCTCAGTGCTGCTGAGAGTACCCAGGACTGTGCTGTGACGAGCACCTTCTGGGTACTTAGAGTTTTACGGCCAGAAAGAACACAGAGCCACTTAACCTGCCCACCCCCTGCCTGCTCCCTATGTCACATCTTGTTGTTTTTTTGTTTGTTTGTTTGTTTTGTTTTTCTCCGGTACCGGGAACCGAACTCACGACCTTGCGCTTGCCAGGCAGGCGCTTTGCCGCTGAGCTAAATCCCCAGCCCCCCTGTGTCACATCTTGATGGCTGTATTGAGATAATAGTTCTGAGACCATGCAAATACTTCATTTAAGTGTGTGTGCGTCTAAGGACAGTCACAGGCCATGCACCCACACAGTCTGACTAGAGCATCTGCAGCCTCCTCAGGAGAAGCCTGTACCCACCACCAGCCATCCCCTCCTCCCCATTCACACCCGTAGTCCCTGCCTGGCAAACGCGCCTCTGCGCCCTGTCTCCGTGGACTTGCCTATTCTGGGTATTTCCTATAAATGGAATTACACAGTGTATGACCTTTTGTCCCTAGTTTAATATACTCAGTATGGTGCTTTCAGGTCCATCTGTGTCATAGCCTGCATCAGTGCTTTGTTCCTTTTAATGGCTGGATAATATTCCATCAGATGGGTAGACCACATCTTATGTATTCATCCACTGATGGGCATTTGAGTTTCCACTTTTTAGGCATTGTGAATAATGCTGCTATGAACAATTGTGTACAGTTTTGTGTGTGAATGGATGTTCCTGCTTCTCTTGGGTAGATGCTTAGAGTAAAGTGCTGGATCCTGTGGTAACTCTTTAACCATTAAGGAACTGCCAAACTTTTCCAAAATTTTTGCACCATTTTGGAGTCCCATGGGCAGTGAGTGAGAGTTCTAATGTCTCTCATCCTTGTAAACACTTGTTATAGTCCGTGTTTTTATTGTAACCATCCTTATCAGTGTAAAGTGGTATCTGGGTGTGGTTCTGGTTTGTGTTCCCCTACTGACTGATAACACTGAGCACCATTCTCTGTTCTTAGCTATACACCTTTTTTACATACATACACGAAGCTCAGTTTTTTCCTTTGGCATTTGTGTTTGGTATTCAGTGTGAAATGTTGCCTGACTCAAGGTCATATGAGAAGAGTTACTGCTGTTTTCTTCTAAGAGTTTTATAATTTTGACTCTTAGATCAGTTAACTTATATGTAGTGTACGAGGAAGGGTTTCAGGTTCATTATTTTTCATGTGGGTATCCAACTGTCCAGCATCGTTTGTTAAAAAGATCATTCCCATTGAACTGTCTTAGCACACTGGTTGAAAATCAGTACCCAAGGGTTTTTTCTTTGGCTGTTTTTTAACTCTGTCCTTTTGATTTGTATATTTATCCTTATGCCAGAGCCACACAGTTTTGATCATCGTGGCTTTGTGCTAAGCTGTCAAATGGGAAACGTGAGTTTTCCAACTTTACCCTTCTCTTTTGAGATTCTAGGTCTCTTGTTCTGGGTCTCTTGTGTTTCCACAGAATTTTAGGAGCAGCAGTGGTTTTGATAGCTATTGTGTTTAATGTACATATCAATTGGGAGTATTGCCATTCTAAACAATTGTAAGCCTCTCTGTCCATGAACAGGGGGTGTCTTTTCATTTAGTTAGATCTTGTTTCATTTCTTTCCATAGTGTTAGTAGTTTTCAGTGTGTGTCTTAAACTTCCTTTGTAATAGTTATACTTAAATGTTTTATTCTTTTTTTTACTCTATTGTAAATGGAATTGTTCCCTTAGTTTTATGTTTAGAATTTTTTTTTTTTTTTTTTTTGTCTTTTTGAGACAGAGTCTGTCTATGCAGTTCAGGCTGACCTTGAACTCACTTTGTAGCCCAGGCTGATCTCAAACTCCTGCCTCAGCCTCCTGAGTGCTGGGATTATAGGCATGTGCCACCATGCCCAGCTTTTAGAATGTTTTTGTTGTTTATTTTTCTTTGGTCTTTTGAGACAGGGTTTTGCTGTGTAGTTCAGACTGTCCTTGAGCTCACTATGCAGCCCAGGCTGGCCTTGAATTGGAGGTGATCCTCCTGCCTCAGCCTCCTGAGTGTTGGGTTACAGGTGTGTGCCACCATACCCTGCCTAGAATGTTTATTATTAGGGTGTAAAAAGTAAAGTTAATATTTTTATATTGTTCTGGTATCCTGTGATATTGATGAACTCATTTAGTAGTTGCAATAGTTTTTTTTTTAAACAAATTCCTTAGGATTTTCTTTTTTGTTATTGTTGGGGTTTGTTGGCTTATTTGTTTTTATCTTTTGAAACAGAGTCTGGCTATGCAGTTCAGGCTGGCCTCAAACTCATGGTGTTCCTCCTGCCTCAGCCTTCCAAGTGCTGGGATTCACTACCATACCTGGCTGGATTTTCTGTGTACTAGATCGTATTATCAGCAAATAAGGATGGCAAGTGCATGTATCAGTTTGAGGAAATTCCCCCTTTTCCTGCTTTGCTGAGTTTCTTTTTAATAATGAAGAAAATGTTGGATTCTTTGTCAAGATTTTTTTCTGCATCTATTGAGGTGATCATGTAGCTTCTGTCCTTTATTGAATTGATATGCCGTATTATATTAATTGATCTATGTTAAATCAGTCAATTTTATGTTGTATCTCTAGGATAAGTCCCACTTGATCATGAGGTATTATACTTTTGCATATTATTGGAATTTATTTGCTAGTATTGGGGGCATAGATCTGTATTCATAAAAGGGTTTGGTCTCCAGTTGTTTTGTAATATCCTTGGTTTGGCAAAAGTGTAGTCCTGGCATCATAGAGTAAGTTTGAAGTATTCCCTCCTGTTTTGTAGAAGATTGGATTAATTCCTTAACTGTGGTGTAGGGTTCATGGTGAAGCTATCTGGGCTGGGATTTTTTTGTGTTGGGAGGTGGGAGTGCGAGAAGTTTTAATAATTACTAATTTAATAGGTTTGTGTGGTTTTATTCAGTTTTTCTATTTCTTTTTGAGTCAGTTTAAGTATTTCATTCCTTCCTGGGAATTTCTTCATTTTATCTAGATTATCTTATCTGTTGACATACAATTGTTCGTTATACTGTATTCTCTTTTGGTCATTTTATTTTATTTTATTTTATTTTATTTTTAGACAGGATCACAGTATGTAGTTCATGCTGGCTTTAAACTCACTGTATAGACCAGGCTGGCCTTGAACTCACAGCAGTCCTCCTGCCTCAGCCTCCCCCTCCCCGATTCTAAGATTATAGGTGTGCATCACCATGCCTGGCATCATCGTATTCATTATAATCCTTTTATTTCTGCCAGATTGGTAGTGATACCACCTTTTCATTTCACCACCTCTCTTCCTTCCTCCCTCTCCTCCTTCTTATCTTTCTCTTCTTCTTTTCTCCCCTCTTCCTCCTTTCCCTCCTCCTTGTTCTTCTATCTTCCTCTACAGAAGTTTTGTCAATTTTATTGATCTTTAAAATTTTCTGGTTCCATTGATTTTTCTCTTGTTAGTCTCTATTTCATTTATTTCTTTTCTCTTTTTTATTACATTTTTTCTTGTGCTTGCCTTGAGCTCAGGTTGCTCATATTTTCTAGTTTCTTGAGATGAAGATTTAGGTTACCAATTTAAGAATTTCTTTCTTTTTTTAAAAACTCTAGGCTGGCCTCAAACTCGTGGCAATCCTCCTGCCTCAGCCTCCTGAGAGCTAGGATTATAGGCATGTACCACCCCACCCAGCTGAGAATTTCCTTCTTTTTAAGTGTAGACACAGTTTAAATTTTTCTTTCAGCACTACCTTAGCCACGTTTCTTAATTTTAATATGTTCTTGTTTTCAGTATTTTCTAATTTCTGTTACAGTTTGGCACATCATTTACTAGATGTAGAGTGTTTAGCTTCTACATGTTTTTCCTCTATTGATTTCTAATTAATTCTAACATGGTCAGAGAATATGCTATGTTTGGCTTCAGTCCTCTCAGATGTATTGCTGTATGTTTTCTGGTTTAGGATGTGTTCTGCCCTAGAGAATACCACCTGTGCCCTTGAGAGGCATGTGCACTCTCCTGAAGTGGACTTGTACTATAGATGTTGGTTGGGTGTACTTGGTTTATATGTATGTATATATGTCTGTATTTATTCATGGTGTTGGGAATTGAACTCAGGACCTCGTGCTTGCCAGGCTGGCGCTGTGGTCTACTGGCCCCAAGGTCTGCTTGGTTTCTGGTGTTGCTCAAGGCTTGTCTTTCCCAGTTCATCTTCTCCCTAGCTGTCCTATCCATTACTGAAAGTATTATATCTTCATTCTCTAACTATTCCTTTAAAATTTTTTTTTCCAGTGTTAGGGCTTGAACCCAGAGCCTCCCTCATGCTAGGTGAGCTCTTTACCTCTGAGCTATGTCTCCAGCCCTTGAATTCTTTATTTGGTCCTGCAGTTCTGTGAGATTTTGCTTCATATATTTTGGGGTTCTGTTCATGGTGTATATATGTTCTGGCTTTCTTGATGGCTTGACCTTTTATTATGACAAAATCTCTCTCTCTAGTAATATTTTTTGTTTTAAAATCTAATTTATCTAATATTAGAATAGTATTTCATCTCTTTTTTGCTTGTTACTTGTATATGTTTTTCTCCTATTTTCAATATGTGTGTCTTTGAAAATAAAGTGTGTCTCCTATAGATGGTGTTAACTGGATCATGTGTTTTTATTAAATCTGACAAACTGCCTTTTGATTAGGTTGTTTAATCAATTCATATTTAATGTTATTATTCTATATGGTTGAATTTACATCTGGTGTTTTGCTATTTATTCTTTGTGTGTCTTATATCTTTATATCTTTTTTCCACTTCTGTTCCTCCTTTTTTTGCATTTTTTTAGTGTAACATGTTCATTCCACCAATTACTTTCGAAGCTCTGTCTTAGTCATTTCTTAGTGGTTTCTGTAAGTCTCACAAATACATCTTATCGGGATCTGTTCAGGTGTCTACTGACTTAATTATAGGAACATTACTCCTATCTAACTCTATTACATATGCTGCCTTTTTGGGGCTGTTATTGTTTTATTAATAATAGATAGGTCAGTAGTCAGGCATACTCTCAATTACATGTCATCATAATTCTTACTTTATATGCTTTGTTGTAAAAAAGCTGAGAGAATAAAAGAAAGCAAGTTTTGGGGCTGGGGATTTAGCTCAGTGGCACAGCACCTTCCTGGCAAGCACAAGGTCATGAGTTCGATTCCCAGTATCAGAAAAAAAACCAAAAAAAAAGAAAGAAAGTTTTGTTTTTGTTTTTGTCTTTTTGAGACAGGGTCTCACTATGCAGTTCAGGCTGGCCTTAAGCTCACTTTGTAGCCCAGGCTGGTTTCAAACTCACAGCGATCCTCCTGCCTCAGCCTTCCGAGTGCTGAGATTACAGGCATGCACCACCACACCCAGTTAAGAAAGCAGATGTTGGGGCTGGGGATTTAGCTCAGCAGCAAAGCGCCTGCCTGGCAAGCGCAAGGTCATGAGTTTGATTCCTGATACCAGAAGAAAAGACAAAAAAAAAGAAAGCAAATGTTATTTATGTAGTTTGTTATATTAACCTTCCACTAAATAACTCTGGATCTCTTCATTTATTCATATGGACCTGAGTTACCATCAGGTGTTATTTCTTTTTTCTTTTTTTTTTTTTTTCTGTCTTTTTGAGACAGGGTCTCGCTATGCAGTTCAGGCTGGCCTTGAGCTCACTTTGTAGCCCAGGTTGGCCTCAAACTTGCAAAGATCCTCCTGCCTCAGCCTCCCAAGTGCTGGGATTACAGGTGTGCGCCACCACACCTGGCCAAAAGACCAGTTTGTTTTTTTTGTTTTGGTTTTGTTTTTTATTTTGGTACCGGGAATCGAACTCACGACCTTGTGCTTGCCAGGCAGGTGCTGTGCCGCTGAGCTAAATCCCCAGCCCCCAGGTGTTATTTCTTTATTCCTGTACAGCTTTACTCCCTTGTACTGTTATTTTATCATATATTTCTAGATGTTATAAACTTATAATGGATATTGTTTTATGCAGTTGGTCTTTAAGGAAAGAAACAGGCAGTTCTGCTGGTCTTCATAATTAATTACCATAACTATTACCTTTACCAGTGCTCTTTATTTTTTTGTATGTGTATTCATATTACTACCTTATATCACTTGCTTTCATCCTGAAGAACTATCTTTAGTACTTTTATTTATGTATTTATTTATTTATATTATATATTTTTATTTTTAATTTTTTGCACTGGGAATTGAACTCAGGCCCTTGTGCTTGCCAGGCAGGCTTTGTGCTACTGAGATACATCCCCAACCCTGTACTTCTATTTTTTTTCCCCAGCTTTTATTAGTACTTTTTTTTTTTGGGTACTGGGAATCAAACTCAGGAGCTTGCGTTTGCCAGGCAGGCGCTTATGCCATTGAGCTACATACCTGGCCCCCTATTGGTACATTTTAGATATACATAATGATCACATTCATTGTAGAGAATTTGTACCTGCATGTGATAATCTAATTCTTTTTTTCCCCATTCCCCTAACCTCCCTTCAACTCCTCCTCTTCTCACTTTTTTACTTTCTCCTTCTTTCCATTCCCATCTCCCACTATTGTCCCCCTCCCTATTTGAACATTTTCTTCCTATTTCACAATACCTAATACACGCTTTTGGTTTCTCACACCAGAGAAACAATGCAGTGTTTAAACATGTGTGTCCGATTTATTTCACTTAAGAGTATGATCTCAAGGTGCATCCATTTACCTAGGAATGTCTCGAGCTTATCTTTCTTTATGGCAGAGTAGTACTTCATCGTATTAAAAAAAAATCCACATCTTCTTTGTCCATTGACCAGTTGATGGACATTTAGTACTTTTATATTTACAGGATATCCTTAATGAGTTATCTATATTGTACACAAATATCACTTTAAAACATGTACTTCAGTCATTCTTAGTATATATACACTAAGCTATATAACATCATCACAGTAAATTTTCGGATATTTTCATTAACCCAGAATGAAACTCCAGGGGCTGGGGATTTAGCTCAGCAGCACAGCGCCTGCCTGGCAAGCACAAGGTCGTGAGTTCAATTCCCTGTACCGGAAAAAAAAAAAAAACAGAATGAAACTCCATTCTTACCAGTCTCTCCTTTCCTGCCCTCTTGCCCAGCCTTCCTTCTACTCCCCATCTTCATAGATCTGGCTGTTGTGCATATTTCGTATGCATCAAGTCATACAATATGTGGTTCTTTTGTCTTCTTTCACTCAGTACCATGTTTTAGGTTTCACCTCTATTTTACTATGTATCTGTGATTTCTCTCTTTCTGTGGCTGAATAATATTCCACCTATGTTTCTTGTAAGCCAAGTTTGCTAGCAACAAATTTTCTCAATTTTTAAAAGTATGGGAATGTTTTATGTAAGCTTCACTTTTAAAAGTTAACTTGGGGACATAAGCCTTAGTTAACATTTTTAGCATGTTAAGAATGTTATTCCTCTGCCTCTGACCCATTGTTTCTGGTGAGAAGTCAGCTGTTAATCTTACCCAGGGTCAGATGGGGGTATAGCTCAGCGGCTTAAGCGCTTGCCTGGCAAGCCTGAGGTCATGAGTTCGACTCCTGGTACCAAAAAAAAGAAAAATCTTACCTGGGGTCTCTTGTACATGATGAGGTTTTTGGTTTTTTCACATTTTGCTTTTGATATTTTTATCTTTGATTTTCAACATCTTCCCTGAATGTGGATTTCTTTGTGTGTATCTTATTTGGAGTTCAGAGCTTCTTAGACTTTATATTGCTCTTCATCAAATTTGGGAGATTTTCAGCTATTATTTCTTTTTTTTCTCAGCTATTCTTTCTTTAGATATTTTTCTGTTCCTTTGTTCTCTCCATCCAGTACTCCCGTTATTTGTGTTTACTGTACATAATGGTTTCCCACATTTCTCTGAGGCTCTCTTTACTTTTTTTTTGTTTTGTTTTCTCTTTTGAGACAGGGTCTCACTATGCAATATAGGCTAGCCTTGGACTCACTATGTAATCCAGGGTGACCTTAACCTCCTGGCAATCCTCCTGCCTCAGCCTCCCGGATGCTGGGATTACAGACCTGGGCCACCACACCCAGCTCTCTTCACTTTTACTCCTTTTTTTTCTCTGTTCTCCAGGTTTCATACTCTCTACTGATCTGTCTTCAAATTTGCTTATTTTTCCTTCCGTCAGCTCATACTTTTGGTGCTTGTTTGGCTACTAGACTTTTTAACCCCAGAAGAGAAACTGCCAGTCTACTTTGCTTGAAATATTTGAAGCATGGGAGCTGGGTGCCAAGGGAGCCCCTGTCTGGGATGGACCTCCCTGCAGTGGACCCTCAGAGTGACGCTTCAGGACATGCACAGGACAGGACAGGACAGGAAGCCGGCCATGGTTCACATGCCACAGACTCTTGTTCTTCCAAGATTGTCAGTTTTCTACCATAAATATTTCTCTTAATATTGTATTCCCTTAGGACAATTTCCAGACACCTTAACTTACTTTTTTTTTTTTGGTACTGGTAATTGAACTCAGGACCTTGTGCCATTGAGCTATATCCCTAGCCCCTTTATTTCATTGCATTTACTTATTTGTTTTTTTAAAATAGGGCCTCACTGTGTAGCCCAGACTGACCTCAACCTCACAGCAATCATCCTGCGTCAGCCTCCTGAGTGCTGAGATTACAGCCATGCACTACCACATCTGGCTCACTTGTTACTTTAATACCCACGTGTAATTTTCCTCTGTTAGTTTGTTGTTTGCTAAGTGTCTTTCTCTGCCTTTTCAGAAGTCCTACCTCCCACGGGACCTTGAAGGCCTATTTTCAGCTATGTCCACAAGGACAAACAGGGCCACTGCGGGGCACATCCAGTCAGTCTTCTTGAGGCTTTTCACTGTGTTTTCTAGATCAAGTGGATGACTCTTTTAGCATCTGTGTGGTGAAGGACGATTCTAAGATCAGCATTGAACCGTGAGTTGGAACAAGTTTAGATCCTGAGGGTCCTTCTGAGTGAAATTGCTTTTACCTCCTGGGGTTCCAGGGTCAGTTTTTCCTAAGGGCTCCTTCTTCATGGGGAGGGCAGGTCTAGGCTCAGAGGCTCCCTGGGGAGAAGCAGTGGATCCCTCCAGATATGTGTAGCAGTATGCTTTCTGTCGAGACAGGTTGTTGGGCACGTGGGGCAGATGCCCTGTACCTTGGGATTCTAGGCAGAGCTGCCCATGGCACAGTGGGAGACCTGAGATATCTGTGGAACGTAGCTGGGCAGAAGTGGCAGGGTAGCAGCATGTACCTCCCTGTCCTAGAGAGGTGCCCCAGGCAGGAAATCTGGTCATGAAGGAAAACAGAAGGAAGAAGGGCATATCCCTGGAGAGCTTTCCGAAACGCCTGGCGCTGGTCAGGGTGACGAGCAGCTGAGTCCGAGAGCCGGCAGTGGGTTTCCACAGAGCAGTCTGTGGCTGACAGCAGGGCACCCGGCACGCCTCCGCTCCGTTTCCCACCTCAGTCATCCTTGTGTGTCATGTTTCAGACACATCAACATAGGAAGCCGCTTTCAGGCTGAGATCCCGGAGCTGCAGGAAAGGTCGCTGGCTAGAGCTGATGAGCACGTGGCCTGTCTAGTCTGGAAGCCGTGGGGTGATGTGACGACCAACCCGGAGACACAGGACAGAGGTGGCTATGGCTCTAGGGTCAAGTTCCCAAGGCCCCTTCTCCCCCTCCAACTCCGGGGAGTGCGCCCCCTCGGCTTCTTCCTGTGGCTGGGGGTGGGCAGTGGAGAGGGCTCGCTTCTCCCGTCTTGGGTTCTCCTGCCCACCTCACACACGGCAGCTGGCCAGGCCTGCCAGAGCCAGTGCTGGGCAGGCCCTCGACTTTTCCCCTCGGCCTGCCCTTGATGGAAATGCGCGGGGGGGGTGGTGACAGGGAGCCTCCCTGTGCAGCCCGGGGAGGTTTCCTCCTTGGCACCTGCTGACGCCCTTGCGTGTCTTCCTCCCCACCCTCGCTTCTGCCCCTCTCGCCGGAACCGCAGTGACGGAGCTGTGCAACGTGGCGTGTTCCAGTGTGATGCCGGGAGGAGGCACCAACCTGGAGCTCGCCCTGCACTGCCTGCACGAAGCCCAGGGCAGCGTTCAGGTGAGGCGGCAGGGGCTGCTGTCCTGGGACCAGAGCTGTAGGTGCACGCAACGTGCCACAGGCTTGGAGGTGACAGCTGAGGACAGCTGAAGGGAGGCTGCCCATCCCTCCTCAGTGGCTCTGAGACGCCTGGGGTCCTTTTGAACTGACATGGGGGACTCATCCGCTGGTTACTGATCCCGAGAGGGGTCAGGGTCTCAGGGAGAGGAGCTCAGTAGACCCAGCTCCTTGTCTACTGAGCCTCACCCTTTGATGAAAAGATCCTGTGAAAACCCTACTGCAACCTAAATGCCACTGCCTGCACCACCCAGCCTCCTCGGAGTTCCGAGGGTTAGGGAAGTCCAGCTCTGAGTCGTGGGAGACCTGTTGTCTGCGTTGGCCGTGTTAGGTTAGGCCACCAGCTCATTTCTCTCTAGCTGAAAGCCAGTACCTAGCACATAGTGGGTCCTCGGCGCATATCGAGGGATGCACACTGGGTGGCTGCAACATGTAGGGTGGGCGCCGGGTACGCTCAGTATGTGGTTCCGTGCTCTGTTGTCGCTGTCTTAATGGCGTCATACTTTTTGAACAAGAAGTTCCTGATTTTATTTTGCGCTGGACCCCAGAAATTACATGTGTGGCCCTCAGTGGGGTTACAGTGGGGGTTCAGACAAAATCTCTGCCTTTGTGGAGTTTGTGTTTTAGGAGAGTCAAAACAGGAAATATGGTTTTTAAACTTATTAGCTAAACAGGGCATGGTGGCGCACACCTGTAGTCCTTGCATTCAGGAGGCTGAGGCAGGAGGATCACTGAGGCTAGGGCCAGCCTAGGCTACAATGTGAATTCAAGGCCAGCCTGAACTGCAAAAAACCCTATCTCGAAAAGACCAAAAAAAAAAAAAAAAAAAACTAACGATGAGAGCTGTGGAGCTAGAGTGCTCCTCC